CAGGTATTCCTGGCAGCCATTACCAGGTATTCCTGGCAGCCATTACCAGGTATTCCTGGCAGCCATTACCAGGTATTCCTGGCAGCCATTACCAGGTATTCATGGCAGCCATTACCAGGTATTCCTGGCAGCCATTACCAGCTGTAATTACTTCTCATTCCCATTCCTGTCAGTCCAAGCTTTCAAGTGGCTGACTAAAAGTTATAATGAAATTCCAAGCCGTCCTTTTTATATAAAAATAAATTCTAATTTCAGCTTCTTCGCTGTTGATTAAATTTGTACTGCTTTTTAAACTAGCATTTTCTTATTTTATGGAAACCAATTTAAAATCAAAGGTATTTATTTTAATTTAAAATCAAATGTATGTCTATTACCCACTGTTGATATATAATGAACTGCTCTCAAGTTCGACTGATTTATTGACTTTGTAAGACCAATTTTACTTTTAGTTAAAAATCTATTGAGTATTTAATAATTTAATTGAGTTTTAGCAAAAACTGACGTTCTAAATTACTAGAATTGAATATAATAGTCAAATTTTCAATGCGTCAATTTTAGTATAGAAATTTTTTTTGAAGATTGCCTGGTTTGACAGCGGTTTTGGGGCCAAACATCAAACCTTTAGAAGGACCGGCAAAATCATTAATTATTTAATAATTAATATTCATTAATATGAATTAATTAATAATCATTAATTAATGATATCATTAGGTTAACAGTAAATGGTTTTGCGATGATTTTTTTTAGGTAATTTCAGATTTCTAAATTTTATTTTTATTGGTTGTTCTTGTGCTATTTTTTTAATTATTCTTTATTTTTTATGGTGATTAGTCTTTTTATTCTCATTATTATCTGTGATTTTTTATTGAATATTCTTTTACTATATTTACTTTATTTTTTCTATCTATTGATATTTGTGCCAAAATTCACTGTCCCAAATAGAGCTCTAATTGCCTAGTGTCTCCGGCCCTCTATGAGGTCAAGGTCAAGGTCATACTTCTGGCACACTTGTTGAGGCTATAAATAGACTAAACGTTATATATCATTTCCAATTTTGTGTACTAAAAATATCAAGTCAATTATTTTTCTATGACTAATGGGTCCGCTTTTGCGTCCATTAGTCTATGACTAATGAGTCTATGACTAATGAGTCTATTTTTCCCTAAACAGGATCTATTTATAAATTTCTAGTACAGCAGTCTATAATAGCAAAATAATTTATATAACATGGTATAGTTTTAGTAGACTTAAATTGAATGAGATCTACACTATATGTAGAACCGTTCGGCGGTTCTACTTAACATAAATCTACTAAGATGACTTAACATTCATTATTTAAGTGCAGTTCTGAATTCACTATGAAATTCATGATTCCAAGTTCATTGTCCATTATGCTGCACACAGCAAACTGTTCATTGCACTGTATGAATAATTTACTGGTAACATATATACTGCTTTTAAAAACTGTCCGAAACAAAACATTTCGTTACGTGTACGATGTTTGATTAAAAGATGATATATGAACAAACTGTTCGTTGATGTTCGTAGTTCTGAAGTGAAGAAGAGAACTGTTCGTCTGACACAAGTAATAAATGGTGCAGTATTACCGTTATATATCAGACAACACTGAAGCATTGACACTGAGTGATGAGAATCGTTAATATTGGCATCATTTAAAAGGATTAAGATGGCACAGAGAGACAGGCTGTGACGTCGTGTTGACGGGCAACTGTCAACGAGGTGACAGGTGTCACATGACAGAAGGTCATGTCAACGTAGGCTGCAGTACAGTCACTTACAGTCACTGCAGTCATTTACTGTGTTGCTGTCGTAGGGCTTATACTGGCACTTACTGTCGCTATTGTGACTTGTGATTGTGACTAGTTACATGCACTACACTCGGTAATGTGTCATTAACTCCTCTACTTAAGCGACGTACATGGTCGTATCTATCAATAAGTATCTCGTTAGTTCTTAATTAGTCTCTATATGAGAAACTTCAGATGGTATTAATGAGAAAAGGTTTCGATGCTAGTGTCATCAATGGATCTAACAATAGCCGCAAGCCACTTATCCACTCCAAACTACTTATTAATACTGATTTATCCATTCAATATCCATTTAATATTAATTTAAATACATTAATTCAAGTGTCATCAATGAGACTGCAAATAAACCCTAGCCTCTCCAAAGTTATATAAATAACTTCTTTTTATATACATAAAATGTTTTTTTTTTATTTAAAGTGTAATCAAAAATGAATTCCTTCATTAGTCATTAACGATATTTATATATCTAAAAACAACATCACAAATATATTTCGTATAAATGCTAAAGTATCACTAAAAGTACATATAAAGTAGGAACTAAGAGGCGCTTTTAGATGTATATTATATTATATATTTTATTAGATTTATGTTAACTTTGAGAATAGTTCGCAATTTTTGCACGTCCTATCAAATTAATTAGTTTAGCAAAAAATCGTTTGGTTGTTTGTATTAAATTCATTATTTCTCGGCCAATTGAAAAAATTATTACCAAATTACTCATTAATTTATTCATGCATTAGCATAATTGGGCGCAAACTTAATAAGTATTAAACAAAAGTATTAGTTAAGTTATAAATTCTCTGTACAGTATTGAATAATATCTTAAGATAATACTATAATTATAGTACTATATAATAGTACTATATATAATAATATCTTAAGATAATACTATAATTATAGTAAATTTTAATGTAATAGTATTATACACCGTATTTCAGCTATATTGATTTAATAATTTTCAGGCAATTGAAACTCAATAATTGGCTTTATTTTCAGGTAAAAAATATTTTTTTTTAGGTGAAATTTCACGTCATTATGTCATATCTAATCCATATCAATATTATACAAATATCTGTAAAATAAATCCATGAATAAATAATTTTAATTTACAAGAATTTTGATGATAATTATTTGAATTAAAGATAACAATTTAAATTGCAATATATGAATAATTAACTATTATACCCCAAATGGGTATAGTAAACTTTTTATAATTTTGTACCTCAGTTATTTAAGCCTTTGACATTTTTTTCCAGAAATATTCTTCTTATTGGTCTTTAACATAATAATCTTTATAAATAATTGTACAAAATTTTAATTATTAAGTACGCTCAATTGTAAAAATAAACGGATTTTCTTCATTTAATTAACTCAAAACATGTCTGATCACAATACATAAAGTAAAATTTTTCTAATTCTAAATTAAAATTATAAAATTAATAAAATTAAGGAAGGCTAGCCTCTGACAGCAGACATCGTTACAGAACCCCATCATGGTAAGCGCTTATTAAATATATGATATTATTAATTATTATATTAATATTAACTAATATATTATTATGATATTAACTAATCGAAAATCCAGTAAAATTTACATGCTAATTAAATATCTACAATTAAATATGTGGTAAGCGCTTATTAAATATATGATTCATTATCACATTAATAATAACTAATATATTATTATGATATTAACTAATCGAAAATCCAGTAAAATTTGCATGCTAATTAAATATATACAATTAAATATCTTTATGTTTCAAACTTCGTAAGACTTATTTCTTCTCTCATTCAAAAGTTTAATAACTGAAATTTCACAACTAGCAAAGACATCATTTGTTAATAAAATATATTCATAACTAAACCATCCAATTTCAATCAATAATCCCTAAATTAACACGCCATGAATAATTTATGAATAAAATGATTCGAAGTTGAATTGTATTGATTTTGTTGTAGCTGTACTCGATGAGAATTCCGTTATTCCATAACTCATTTTAAACTTTCAAGTAAAGCTATATTATGAAGTAAAAGATCCTTTTCAATCGCGGCTTCGCATAGAATTTTTTAATAACTCTCAGTTTGACTTTTGTAAGTATTTTAATGTGAACAACAACTTGAAAGTTCGTAAAACAAGAAGTTCAAAGTTGTAAGGTCATAAAGCGTAACGCAAGAAAGTTGTAAGGTCATGAAGCGTAACGCAAGAAAGTTGTAAGGTCATGAAGCGTAACACAAGAAAGTTGTAAGGTCATGAAGCGTAACACAAGAAAGTTGTAAGGTCATGAAGCGTAACACCTGTCTCTTATACACATCTNTTGTAAGGTCATGAAGCGTACACAAGAAAGTTGTAAGGTCATGAAGCGTAACACAAGAAAGTTGTAAGGTCATGAAGCATTTTTATGAATGTACTTATTTCTATATTTCAATTCTTATGAGTCTGTTCATTTGTAGAAATCTTATTTTATAAGAAAATATACAAAATATAAAATAAGTCTCATATAAAATAAGTCTCAACCGTGCAGAAGGTCTCGTAAGATAAATGACAGTTCATGTCAGGAAAATATGCCTCAGAAATTCTTGTTATGTGTAACATTCCTACATCTCGTGAGGGTAGATGCAAGGTACAAAACTACATTACGTGTTAAAAATATCCTTTTAAAAAAGTAGCATAAACTAAAAGTGAATAAAGACTTGAAATATGAGTGTGTCAGTTAAAATTTCTAAGATCATTTGATGTCTAAAATATCACATATACGTCACTTCATTAATTAAATTAAAAAAATATTAAATGCTCCAGTTTATTACTCCAGTTTATTGTCTTAAAAATAAAAATTAAATTATTAATATTAAATAAATAAATAAATACTACAAAATTAAAAACTCCAGTTCATTGTCTTGCAGAAAATCAAACTCCTGTATCGGAAAAATATTTATTGAAGTGTTCAGTGAATTGACTTTGTCGATATAAATTTTATTGGATATAATAAATTTTATAAATTGTCTTATATTTAAAAATCTTTTTCTTTTTGCAAAGAAGCAGCAATACTATTATAGTACGTAAATTTGAAAGATTTAATACCAATATTTTCCTATCATTTTGAATTTTCGCGACTTAATTTACGAATGTTACGAGTAAGGCTATTGATTTTTTAGATATAAAAATTTTTCATTTTGAATTTCCATAATGAAAATTCAATTTAAATAATGTTACGAGTTAGGCTATTGATTTTTTAGATATAAAAATTTTTCATATTGAATTTCCATAATGAAAATTCCATAAGTAAGTGTAAATTTTCCGCATGTTACGTTGGCACCCAATAGTGCAGAATATAGCTATTATTTATATCAATTATTTATAGTGTTTTAGTCTAAATAATATAATTATTATGATATAAAATATAATTTAGTCTTAATAATTTAACATGGGGGTTATGTTGATGCAAAAAAGATCAATGAAAGCAATGGCTTCCATTGATGTTCATTTCTGAGAACATAATATTTCACATTTAGTTCTTCGAGAACCTAAACATTCACTGCAGCAGGTCGAGCATTCAGGATTCAGCGATGCAATACACGAATAAAATGTAAATATAAAATAAAATAATTTAAATAAAATTTTTCTTTCACTCGTAAATTTTCGTAGGTTTATATCGAGAATTATTATTGCAATTAGCTTAGAATTCAATCGTAATATTATAAATAAGATATAAGATGTGTNCTGGCCATTCGTCTGTCCGTCCGTCCGTCCGTGACTTCACGTTTTCGTCGACGAGAAAATGCGCTCTCTGTCACTCACTGCAGTGAGCACTGAGTTATATCTGTCTCTTATACACATCTAGATGTGTATAAGAGACAGCGTAAGAGTTATTCTGGGTCAGTTGGCCAACTGATCGCAATCAGCGACTAGTCAGAACCTCCTGGCCGACTTTATGGTCTCCTGAGAGTAGGGCAAGACTTGGCAGAGTAACTAGCAGGCTCTGGTATGGTAGCTGTCTGATTCCGGGACCGGACTGTAGACCGAAAAGCGGACATATAGGCCGAGAAGCTGGTGGACTATGCTCCCCGAGTCCTAGGCGTTCCTTAATCCAGAGCCGCCCTCGGCTCTAAATTTTGTTAGGGAGAGGCTGCCCTTCACACCCTGAGCCGAAGCGGATACAGAGAAGCTGATTGACGCGCTCCCCGACTCCTATGCGGCCCTAATGAAGGGTCGCGCACGACTCTAAATTTTGTTAGGAATTATAAGTGAGAACGAGAAAATCTGTGACTTTCTAAATGTCTCAGAGTATTTAAACAATTTACTTATAAATTAAATCGGTTAGTGATCGACTTTTTGGTGTAAACTCTTCTGTAATTTTTCAATAACATTCATGATAATTCAAACTGTTATGAAATTTGTGAAAATTAAGGACTATCCTGGCAATTCAAGTCAAGAATTTTAATCCACTGGCACATTTGAAAATATTTATTATTGAACTTCTGAGATTTCAAAAGTGGACAAAATTTTGCCGACTATTGCTTTGTAAACTATCTAAATATCGCTAAATAGCTAAATATCGCTAAATAGCTAAATAAATTTCGAAATAGCTAAATAAAGTTAATTAACTATATATAGCTAAATAGCTAAATAAAGTTAAATAGCTAAATATACCTTAATAATTAAATAAGAATACCAAACTAAAATTGGATCGCGCTAGCAATATTACATTTTTGTGCCCGAGGATTGTGAATAAACCTTAACAATTTCTATATTATATTGTTATAGCACGGTTACCATTATTTATGACCAAATTACTGCTATGGCATTATTACCATTATTGCAAAGCCAAATTTCACCTAATGAATTATACAAAATTAGATCAATGAACCATTTTGGTTCATTACTGAACAAAAATTAGAGTGACCTTTTGTCTGACATAAGCTCCTCCCGTTTGACCTTCAATAACGATACCGCAACATAGTTATGTCAAGACCTGGTCCACTATGTTAACTATGTCGGCAAAATTCCTATGATGTCAGTCGCGTGACCACCACATGCCATGTTGTACATCGCATAGAACAAAGTAACATAGAAGAAACCATGTCATCTTGTTCTACATGGTCGGAACGCCGGCACTCGCTTTCATGTCGTGAAAGTGAAAGATTTATGCCTCGCTTTCATGTCGTGAAAGTGAAAGATTTCATGCCTCGCTTTCATGTCGTGAAAGTGAAAGATTTTCACGCCTCGCTTTCATGTTTGTCTCTTATACACATCTAGATGTGAAAGTGAAAGATTTTCATACCTCGCTTTCATGTCGTGAAAGTGAAAGATTTTCATGTCTCGCTTTCATGTCGTGAAAGTGAAAGATTTTCATACCTCGCTTCCATAGAATAGAATAGAATAGAAGTGTCGGCGTTGAAGAAATAGGCCCATGGCCTATTTTCAAATGAAATATTTCATTTGAAAGATTCATTTCAAAATGAAAGATTTTCATACCTCGCTTTCATGTCGTGAAAGTGAAAGATTTTCATGCATTTCTTCGCAGCTCACGTGACAAAGTCTTTTTATCTGCATAATATATTGTAATATATTATATACAAATAATACAATATTATACGATAAATATTATATTACTTGTAAAATGAAATGTATATTTTAGAATACATAATAATAAACATTTTTCATAAGACGAGCATTGGAAAGTTAACATATAAACTTATATAGGCGTTCAAACAAATTTGTTTATTGTCATTTACTATTTTTTTTCTTTAAATTTTTTTACACTTGATTGTGCTTGTGTATAAAAAAAATTAATATATCGACTTTATTTAGCGGCTGCCATGCACTAAATAATAATTAGAGTTCTTGCTCATTATTAGAATTTTTGTTTGATAATTTATTTCAAAAACGATCATAAAAACAATAGAAAACCAAGATGATAAGATGATAAAGGATCGAAATCTAGTACAGATTGCGATGGTAGTAATGCTAGAAAAAGCTTTCAGGGAATTTACTAGTGTTGAATTTACGGGTGCATGGTGAAATTTTTATATGCAATTCTTATACGGTTATAATGATATATGCATTTGTGAGACGGTTTTGCTTGGAGAATTGATGGTATATTGTTATATATTGTTTTGTTCTCCTACCCGCTTATTAATGTACCCTCTTAACTGTATGTTATTATATCCTCTTAACTGTATGTTATTATAGCCTTTTAACTGTATGTTATTATAGCCTCTTAACTGTATGTTATTATAGCCTCTTAACTGTATGTTATTATAGCCTCTTAGCTGCATATTATTATAGCCTCTTAACTGTATGTTATTATATCCTCTTAACTGTATATATTATTATAGCCTCTTAACTGTATGTTATTATAGCCTCTTAACTGTATGTTATTATATCCTCTTAACTGTATGTTATTATAGCCTCTTAACTGTATGTTATTACAGCCTCTTAAATGTATGTTATTATAGCCTCTTAACTGTATATTATTTTAGCCTCTTAACTTTATATTATTATATACTCTTAGTTGTATATTATTGTAGCCTCTTAACTTTATATTATTATATTCTCTTAGTTGTATATTATTGTAGCCTCTTAACTTTATATTATTATATTCTCTTAGTTGTATATTATTGTAGCCTCTTAACTTTATATTATTATATCCTCTTAGTTGTATATTATTGTAGCCTCTTAACTTTATATTATTATATTCTCTTAGTTGTATATTATTGTAGCCTCTTAACTTTATATTATTATATCCTCTTAGTTGTATATTATTGTAGCCTCTTAACTTTATATTATTATATTCTCTTAGTTGTATATTATTGTAACCTCTTAACTTTATATTATTATATCCTCTTAATTGTATATTATTGTAGCCTCTTAACTTTATATTATTATATTCTTTTAGATGTATATTATTAGACCCTCTTAAATGTATATTATTATATCTTCTAAACTGTGTATTATTATGTCCTCTTAACTTTATATTATTATAGCATATTCTCCCTTTGGTTAATATACCTTATTATTATATTATATTCTTATATTATTATATCCTCTAAACTGTGTTTTATTATCTCCTCTTAACTGTGTATTATTATATTATTATATCCTTTTAGCTTTATATTATTATAGCTTCTCTGCCCCTGGTTAATATACCTTCTTATTATGATTATTTCCAATTATTTTAAATTTTTACTTCTGTTTCAGGCTTCAGATCTGGACGAGCAGACGCTGCACGGTAAGGAAGTCTGGAAATATGTAATTTTTCCTAATATTTGGTTGCTAAATTTTAATTGTTTTAATTGTATTAATATAATTTAGATAAAATATAATTATAATATTACATAAACTTGCGTTTGGTAAAAATAATTGCTAATATCGAGTTTAGTTCAGCTTNGAAGTCTGGGAATATGTAATTTTTCCTAATATTTGGTTGCTAAATTTTAATTGTTTTAATTGTATTAATATAATTTAGATAAAATATAATTATAATATTACATAAACTTGCGTTTGGTAAAAATAATTGCTAATATCGAGTTTAGTTCAGCTTTAAAAATTAAAAACAATTTTCTGGCTGACTATTCAGTCAGCAAAAAATAAAGGCCTCTATATTAAGGGCCAGAAAATAAATGCCTCTTATATTAAGGGCCAGAAAATAAGGGACTCTTATATCAAGGGCCAGAAAATAAGGGACTCTCATATCAAGGGCCAGAAATAAGGGCCTCTTATATTCAAGGCCAGAAAATAAGGGACACTTATATCAAGGGCCAGAAAATAAGGGCCTCTTAAAATAAGGGCCAGAAATAAGGGCCTCTTATATTCAAGGCCAGAAAATAAGGGACTCTTATATCAAGGGCCAGAAAATAAGGGCCTCTTATAATAAGGGCCAGAAAATAAGTGCCTCTTATAATAAGGGCCAGAAAATAAGTGCCTCTTATAATAAGGGCCAGAAAATAAGTGCCTCTTATATTAGGAGCCAAAAAATAATCGACTCTTATATTAAGGGCCTGAAAATAAGGGACTCTAAGTTCATACAATATAGAAATATGTGTCATGTTTTGGACAACATTATTTTTTTGCGTGTAGCGCTGCGTAAAGCGTTTGCTCTCAGTTCATGCAGGATGTCATGTTTTGGACAACATTATTTTCTTGTGTGTACACTCTCAGTTCATGCAGTGTATACAAATGTGTGTCATGTTTTGGACATTATTTTTTTGAGTGTAGCGCTGCGTTAATATTTCGCTCTCAGTTCATGCAGTGTATACAAATGTGTGTCATGTTTTGGACATTATTTTTTTGAGTGTAGCGCTGCGTTAATCTTTCGCTCTCAGTTCATACAGTGTATACAAATGTGTGTCATGTTTTGGACATTATTTTTTTGAGTGTAGCGCTGCGTTAATCTTTCGCTCTCAGTTCATGCAGTGTATACAAATGTGTGTCATGTTTTGGACATTATTTTTTTGAGTGTAGCGCTGCGTTAATCTTTCGCTCTCAGTTCATACAGTGTATACAAATGTGTGTCATGTTTTGGACATTATTTTTTTGAGTGTAGCGCTGCGTTAATCTTTCGCTCTCAGTTCATACAATGTATACGTATGTGTGTCATGTTTTGGACATTATTTTTTTGAGTGCAGCGCTGCTTAAAGCGTTCACTCTCAGTTCATACAATGTATACAAATGTGTGTCATGTTTTGCACAACATTATTTTTAGCGCATTTTCTCATTTATGGAAAAAATGCACTATTGTGCTCGCCATGTCCGTCTGTCTATCTGTCTGTCTGTCTGTCTGTCTGTCTGTCTGTCTATCTGTCTGTCTGTCTGTCTGTCTGTCTGTCT